CAATGAACTGTGTTTTTAAGAGTCGAGTAAATATGGCTGCTTGGTTAGTATGTTACACATCTTCTCAATTAAGAACCTAATAATTAATTATGTTACATTTCTTTTCTCGTTTGGAAATGTTTTATTAAACAATTGTTCCATTAAAAGGCGGAAGAATGAATTTAATGGTCCACGATTTTTGTCTTTTAACTCGGTTACCTGATTTTGATTGTAATAAAGACGCACAGAAAATTTTATTTACTAATTATGATGGTAATTGGGTGTTCAAGAACAAATAATTAAATACGTTCTTTTGCTTCTCTAACGGAAGATGTGAATAGAAAATAATATGTTTGTTACCTAAAAAAAATCAGCAATGTTCTTAAGTTGCGAGCATTTTCATTTATACTACTGGGGTGCAAAGAATAGAAATTAGGGTAAGAATAAACTTCCATAAACACAAAGGATGATAATCCTAACGCTAGGAAAATTATACTAAACGTACAAAGACTAAGTTACCAATGCAAAATATCTAGTAAAAATACCAAGGAAAAATAAATCTACATTCCTAAGCCAGAAAATATTAACTCTATACATAATGTAGTATTTCTAAGTAGACTAATTAATAATACATTTACATATCGTGATTTCAACTTGGCGCCAAAATGGAGTTGTAACAGAACATCAGCGCATATGTCTTCTTTTTTTTGTACCTACTGGAAATTTCATCGCTTAAAAGAATTATATTTTGCTCAATCGTCGAAACTCTGTACTCTTTGTTTATTTACCTCATGTAGTGCTAGTTCATTCCGGGATTTAGGATAGGGAAAAGCATAATTTCATATATAAAGTATGAATTTTTCGAAACTTGAAGAAATAAGATAGTGATATGAGTAAAAGACTATTTAGTTCATAACATGTCAAGGGGGAAAACTTACCCCCCCCCTATCTACTGATAACGAACATATTACCGCAAAGGCACACGTCGGTCTAATTATCAGACTGCATAACTCCATCTGGAGTGCTAATTTGATACGGTAGGGCTAGGCGCCAAGTTGTTGTTTATATTCCCCAAGATAGGCGATAATATTACAATATGGTTTACTTTGATATTTTTATCGTGCGATAATGTGGTTGCCATGGGGATAACGTATATTAGTGTTAGTTTTTTATTTTATTATTTGTTTTTTCCCGCGGGATCTCTGCTCAGAAAAAGTAACACATTGTTAATGTTTGTGCAATGAACGCTTAAAATAGTGTAAATAATTTATATATCTGGAAGTGTAATACATTAATATTACTTTCTGTTGTATTTATTTTATGTTAAAATCTTACCACCACCTCTCTCTTCGAAATCTAGTTTTACTATGAAATAAAAAAGGTAGTGATTACACTGATCGAGGAATAAATTAAGAGCGGAACGCGCACTGAGGCATGGCGTAGACAAAACAAAACGGTTAAGAAATCGTGCCAAAAAACGCTTGGCGCGTTGCACTCCTATATCAAATCAGTAACACCGGTGGAGTTACGCAGTCGGATAATTAGGCCGACGACATGTAGTGTATTCCAATCGAAGAAGCAGAATAGTCAGATTTATCTACTTGAACAAAATCAGCGTATATATTGCATGCTGCGATTGAGTATAAATAAGGTGACCAACCGTTTTCTTTTAGAGAGGACAGTCCTCCTTTTATAGGTTCTGTCTTTCCTCGAAAAGTGTCCTCCTTTTCGATATTTTAAAACTGATCTATTAATCTCTGTATTCCGAGATGAACCGAACATGTTTCCAAAATGTCGAAGAATGGTCTAAAGCAAATATCACAGGAAAAAGTAGTTTTCAATGGTATTTTTTGACTTTGTCGCAAGTAAATTGGGCAGATATAGAAAACTACTTTGAGTTTTTATCGAAAGAAATGCCTGATATTAAAATCTATGACAATTGTCTGTTTGAAGTTGAAAGAAGACTGAATGTATATTTAAATTCCAATAAATTAGAACAATTGGAACATCGACATGCTGAGAAATTGGTAAAAGATGGGTGAAATTACTTAAACCG